AAAATTCATTAGTAAGGACCAGAAGAAAAAAAAAAAACCAAAGACAGACCACAAAAAGCCATTTTGTCAGTAACAGAGATACAAGGTGGTGATAAAAGAATTTCTAAAAGCAGGGTTAATTATAAAAACATAACTCCTTTAACTCAGTTTTAAAAGCAGCTGGAAAGCTTAGAATCAGCAGAGCATCCATCCAGCAAACACAGCAGACACAGCTCTCAATACCATGCTTCACGTAAACTCCTATGAAAAAGTTCAAAAAATCCAAAGTGCATCAGAACTGCCAATCACTACCTCTCCTAAGTGAGAGTTTTCAGTTAACCTACTGCTCAAAAACGTTACCAGTAAGGCCATATTGTATAGATCTTTGCTGTTCCTCAGCTCCATGAATTGCCAGGTACTTAAATTTGGATTAAATGGAATTGCATGTGATGGAGAATAGACCCTCTAATCTAATCTCTGGTCTCATACTGGCAAATGACTCTGTTATGTGCAACTAACTGGACAGTCAAAACTCATAAATGAGGATCTTCTCTTCATGCAAGTAATTCTGTGGTGTCTGTCAGGGGTCATCTATTTTATATAAATACAGGAGACACTGAAAACCTGTTAAGGCCTATTGAATATTTACATTACAATTTTATATTTCACATAATAAATCCATCAGTCTAACAGGTATTTCTCATTTCTTTAATTATGTAACCACAAATACATCTTTCTAATAAGAGCAACAGCACAACTGTTACTGTTATTGACACATAAAAAGAAATTGTCTTCTCTAACAAATGTCTGATGGGTATCAGTAAAATGTTACCATCTCAGGGGTCCATTTTGCAACCAAATTTCAAATAAAAATGCTACAGAGATTGTATCTAATCCCATCTAGGAAAAGGCCACATAAAATAATTCAGTAAATTATTCTGCTTACAGTTCTGAGATGAAAGCATAACCCTGAAAGCACAGTGCAAACATAATAATTTTTTTCTTTTAAGGGCCACCTGTATTTAAAAGGATTACAAAACCAACTGCATTTTTTTAATACATTTATTCATATATTGTATGAACTATAAGCACTGGTGTCACAAGTAACTCCTTTTATAGCGTGCCAAAATTCCAGGCTATGGAGATCACTTCTCTAACACAGAAGCACAGTCCCATTTTGCTCTGTTTAAATAAGGGGTATACTTAGATGTAAAGCATGTATCAAGTTCAACTCTAATACTGCAACAGCTAGAGATTGAAAAGTACATAAGAACGAATTATGAGGCCAGTCTGAATATCGACTTATTCAGCATTCAGAATGAATACAGATTATTTGACAATCTAGGATTCTGACACGCATGATTTCCCATAAGCTTATAGTTCATTTGGGTGATCTGATTCCACATCAGATCATCACAAAAAAACAGGAGAGTTTAAAAGCAAGGGTAGATGTAAATTGTAAGCTGTAAGCTGATAAGCACCTAGGTAATTAAGAAATGTTCCTCAAAATGAGTAGCTGGGGCAAGCTACGCCTGGCTTCAAAGAGCTTACAAAACTGGTTTTGAGTGGCAGTCATAGCAGATAGTCCAACAACCTCCAGGAGTTTCTGTTAAATATTCCGAGGCCAGTACTTATTCCTGTCATTGCCATAAATTTGTTAAGATTAAAGAAAGGAAATGCTGAACTATATTTATACATACAACTACGTCATCAGAATATTCTTGTTGCACACAATTGAATCTTCAACACTTACGGGGGGAACTCCACTCATCTATCACACCTTCCTCAGTTGCATACATCTTCCTGTAATATCTAGAGCCCTGTGGGTGAGTATCTAGAATTCCCTGTGCTGACTAAAGCTCTTATTTCGTGAGATAAACAAACCAATTTAAAATTAAAAGCTACTACTGTTAAAGGAATAACACTTTCAACAAGCCAACCACAATGCTCTTTTGATCCCTTCATGAGCTAAAAAGAACAGGCTTCTATTTGTTCAGCAAGCTGAACAATCCTGTAAAAGACATCACTAGTCCACCATAAGAGTCACCAAAATACAGGTGCAAGCAGGAAAGATCACGACACTTAGAACTGCACAGCTGCCTTGTGAAACCTCACCCATAGTTCCCAAGACAATCTATTAAACATCTATTACCTCCTTTTAGCATTTCAGAAAGTGTCTTGCACGAACTGAAGTTCCTCATTTCAAGCATCCGAGTACTTAACGTTACCAGAATGACAACACTGACAAGCTTTCCAATGCTGTCAATGAAAACAGCTTCACTGGCTCCTAGCGTCAAGGAATTTTCTGAGGTACCTAGACCAAAAATTTCTTCTGATCTAAGAAAAACACTTGGAACACTAGTCTCCAAAGTGGAATGCATTTAATACAATCCTTTGGGGTGCAAGAAGAAAATATTTTTGTACCATTAATAAATAAAGTAAAATTTTTAAAATGTATTTATTTCAGCTTTACCACTTTTTTTTTTTTTCTTTTCAAACACTGGAACAGGCTTCCTAGAGCAGCGGTCAATGCCCCAAGCCCATCAGTGTTTAAGAGGCTCTAGCTTTCGGTCAGCCCTGAAATGGTCAGGCAGTTGGGCTAGATGATCGTTGTAGGTCCCTTCCAAGTGAAACAGTCTGGTCTGTTCTACGCTATTGTTTATTTTCTACATTGTGTATGCTTGATAATGTGCATACCAGTACAGTAGCACATGCATATAATTCATAAATAAATAAATGTACACATATTGAGGATGCATGCTTAAAAACCTTTAATCAATACTGGTGCATGATCAAAAATGTTCACCACCGATCAGTGGTCTTTTCTATCCACAATCCAATCTCTCCCTAGATAACATGTAAAATAGTCAAGGATTTTTTGGCTCAAAACCACTAACAGAATTCCATCTGGTTTTACCTACACCGTTTACCCCAGTTTCTAATCTTAATACCTATAGTTTCCAAACCAGAAAACAATCCACACTCTGGGATAAACTTTCCATAGTTCCACTAGTTCTTAGCACACGGTAGATGAAAAGGAGCTTTAAACATTACCACCTCACTTGAAAAATACACATACTGAATGCAAACTCACACTCCTGGAAGTATTTCAAAGGGCTCCCTGTTCTTGAAAAATTCAAAACAGAACTTCACCAGCCTCATCACCTCATTCTTAAGTGAAACCTTTCATAAATAGTGGAGATAGTAACAAGTCTTAACAAGGACATTAGCCTGAAGGCTTTTCTACTTCAAGAAATTGAATTAGTTCAATCTGACCAGAACTTAGCGTCTCTCCAAAGAAGATACTTCTGACAAATGAAAACATTTTATACAATGCAATAATTTGTTTTACAAAAGTCCAACATACAATTTTAAGCTTCACCTTCAAAAACAAACAAAAACCAAGACAAAAAAACCCAACAAAACAAAAAAACTCAACCACCCAAAATTCCAGCGATACGCATAAAAATAATGCAAGACATTCCCTTAAAAAAATCCCCTTAACAGAAACCTTTGTCTTAGAGGATTTTGCTAATGGCCGGATGTCCACAGAGGTGGTGAGATTGTAACATACTTTTTAGTCTAAGATCAGTCAGTGATCAAGCCTAGCAAAGTCAGCACCTTCCTCAAAAGCACCCATTACCTACTGAATTAAAATGTATTTTGAAAATTGTAATGACCTGTGAGTTTGTTCAACTTTTCTGCATCGAGTGAATTCTTTAGTGCTCTGTCTGTAGCCAGTTATACAACATTTAACATTTCAAAACAAGTCCAAGCATGTAAGTTAATTAACGTCATCCTCAGGAACAGACCATAAAGTAAACTACATTCTAGACAAACAGGGCGTATCTTGAGAAGCATTCTACAACCCTATTCTCTTTTATGTATTTACTAAAACTGGAGGTTTAACAGCTGACAAAAAGTAGAATAGCGTACACTTTATCAACACTATGTGCCACAAACCTAAGAAAACAGAGGCCATATGATGATGATGTTCACACAGCATAGTTACTGGGCTGGTATGTCCTAGTTGGATACTTGTGTAGGTTCAAAAAACCAGCATCAGCACCCCACCCAGGAACTAATCAACAGCCACACAGAGTGCAACACAAGGTGAAGTGATGAAATCTCAGCATAACTTAAATCAAGTTTTCAGGGCTATGACTCTCATTTGATACCTTTCAGTATCAGCTTTCCAAATTGGATTGTTAGTTTTCTCCTGTAATCTGAGATGAACTCTATAAATTATCCGGAGTTGGAGATATTTATAGACAGATTTACTGTCTAATCTGGGCAGTATTTAAAAGGATCCAGCATCAAAATTTTAAAGTCGGTATCACAGCTGTTTCATTGCCTGCATCAAATCAAACTGACAAACAGCATTTTTGTTACCACACTAATTCAAAGAGAATTAAAAGCACGGCATTTAATGTCTATTATTCATGTACTCTCAAACTGGATGTTGCTAGAGCATGCAAAAGCCATTAACAATTCTTCCATTTAGGGCCACAAAACTTTTAAACTTTTCATGAAAAGAAAAGTTTGTGAACTTCTGCATTATATCATTACACAGGATGTTATAGTCTGTTCTGTGTTTTATAAAAAACGTTTCATATCTCCGACATTCCTATGTTCTTTTACATAAAACAGAGAACATATGAAGGCAGGAGACATGAAGCATATTTGCAAAAAAAGCATTGCTACAAACACTCTTTGTATTAAGCTTAAGCACGATTTGAAGTCAAAGTAAAAAAAAAAAAAAAGAAAGTCGTCTCATTTTCAGGAATAACAGGCATTAACTCCAATTAGGTTGATCTTACACATTGTCTCAAGTCTACGTTATTATCAGTAAACATCGTGGCTTAACCACTCCGATTCACAAATAATGAAGTATTCTGTAAGCTTCAGTCACAGATTTTACAGGGTGAAACGACAGGAACGAAAAGAAACGCTCTACAGATGAGAGGGCCTTTCAGCCGGGAGCGCAGGGTCTGAGGGCTGACAGGAGGACGGATACTCACTCTGCAGTACCAGATGCTTAGCTGAGATGGGGATAACACTGCGAAGAAAGCTCTCTGGGGATCCGTCTGGATGTGAAGAGGTTGCTCCGGGGACTCCAGAGGACACAGCAGCCTCTTGGGCCAACCGCTGAGAAAATACATGGCTGTCGATTCACCCTCCCGAGAAGCGGGCTCTCAGCTCACTCTAGCCTAGGCGGGGGACGGCGGGGACATCAGCCGAAGGACAGACGCAGGAGGGCTCGCTGCCCGCTCGACGGCCTCCGGACGAAGGGCTCTGACCAGCGGCCCGGGGCCGACCATGCATAATCACCAGCAAAGCGACGGGACCCCTTGGCTCACCACCACCGCCCGCGCCCGGGAAGGGGGTGGCTAAGGCCTCGCC